AGGAGTGAAAACAGGAAAGTAAAGAAAGACAAGTGAGAAATAGACAGAGAAAAGAGATGCCCAAGGGTAGAGAAACACACATGAGAAGAAGTACAGAGACAAGACAAGGGCAGAGGCAAAAAGAGAAAAACAGAGCTTGGGCTGCAGTGGGTTAAGAGAACAAAAATGTTCTTCCCACCTGCTGCCTGGCATCTCAGACAGCCTTCAACAAAAAATAGTGTCTGTACCACTGCCCTCTGAAACTCAAATGTTGTCCACACCTCAGAGGTTATTCAGCACATGGCAACTATAGCATGTACCCAAGCAGACGTAGTCTTTGGTTGAAAAGACCATCACCAACAGAATTTGTAGGTAGAGAAACAGAGGCCTTGGGAGGTTAAAATCCAGATTCCGAAGCATAACATACAAGGCCCTTAACTACCTTGGTCCAAACATGCTCCAAGGCCCTGTTAGAAAACCACACCTTAGACTCTCCTTTCTGACACAGCTGCCTCTTGTATTAAACCTTGGACTGAGGTGTCACTTTGCACTCCAACCTAGCGACCACAGAGCCTGAGGCACAGTGAGCCCTCAGTTGGCCAGAGTGCATAAAAAAATCCAGGTGTCCATGACTCCAAATGCTGTTTTTCTCAAAATTCTCATATTTCAACAGAAACAATGGTCCATCAGGTTAAATTCCATGATAGTTTTCATTCACTGGATCTAAACATGATTAGATAATGATCCAGAAGGGCCACCTTGTTGCACTATCTTATTCTGACTCTTGGCATGCAGGTTGGGGGGCAGGGGAGCCAGTCCTGTTATGTCTTCCCTTGTTACTGAGTGCTCTTTTGCTTCCTCTGCCTCTTACTAAATTTGCCTTCTCCTCTGGAGCCCCAGTGTAGGAAAGCTGGATCTTGCCTGTCCCTCAGTGCTGAAAATCTAGCCTTTATGATGCAGGGAAAAGAGAACCAGCCAGGATATCGGAAACCAAATTCTTGCTGTGACTTCTTGGTCAAGCAGATCAACCTCTCCTACTTCAGTTTCCTTATAAGTAACATAGGAAAAAAAATTCCTGCCCTACCTACCTCAGGTGATAATTACGAAGGTCATATAGAATAGTAAACGTGGGGCACCTGGGTGGCTCAGTTGGTTGAGCATCTGACTCTTGG